CTCATAAAAAATAACTCATAGTTATTGACTGTCTTTGTGAGCCAAGCACAGCACTAAAAATTGGTGGAAAATAACAACATAAATGGGCTGTGAAGGCTGATTTCAAGAACGTTCTATATAATTCTTTAATTTTCTTTTGTGTGTGTGTGTGTGTGTGTGTGTGTGTGTGTGTGTGTGTGATGCCAGAGCTAGACCTCTGTGGCTAGTGTGTTTTTTTCTTGTTTTTTAGTGTGAACTGAGTGATAGTTTACGTGGGAGAAAATCGGCTTCACACCATTGTTTCATTGCAATGATTACAATCTCCTCCATGCATCATCATTCAACAGTATTTGCTTCCATTCCCTCTGTTTTTTGGGGGGGATTTGGTAGGGTGGGCAGATATACACAAAACCACTCAGAAATATATAAAAATTTAAACCACCAAAGGACACATTCTACAAGCCTGGCTCCTGGCCGCCAGCTCTCAGTCCCTCTCTTTCCATGAGTCCAGAATCATCAGCTGCTCCCTCTCTCCATGTCCTCATCTCTGCCTCCATCTCTGGTGTCACTACTTCTCTGGATAGGGTCCCACATTCTGTTCATGCTCTTCTTCCTTACTGGTCCTAGGGTCCTCTGTTTCTGGACTGTAAAATTAACTACTCACCCATTTTTTTACATTTTTTTTTACAGTTGTAACAGTCACAATTAGTCATGATAACAATTACTCACTACTGAATTGTAAGAATCGTATTTCCATCTCTTTTCACCAGACCCATCTAAACAAGATGAAAATGATTCAGTTGGGGACTCTAGTATTTCTTTTTAATATGATAGAAAAGATGACTTCTAAATGTGTAATGGGAAAGATAAGATAGTATATATTGTTATTGTTAGATCCCGTTGAATCAGTTCAGATTCATAGCACTCTTGTATACAACAGAATGAAGCACTGCTTAGTCCTGTACCATCCTCAGAATCACTGCTATGCTTCAGCCCATTATTACACTTACTGTGTCAATAGGTCTTCTTGAGGACTTTCCTACTGTTTTCACTAACCCTCTGCTTTACTAAGTCCCTCCTGATAGCATATCCAAAGTATGTGAGGCAAAGTCTTGCCATCCCTATGTCTAAAAAACATTTTGGTTGTACTTCTTCCAAGACAGATTGTTTGTCCTTCTAACAGTCCATGGTATATTCAATATACCAGTATATTTGGCCAACACCATAATTCAAAAGCATCAGTTCTGTGATCTTCCTTATTCACTGCCCATTTTTCACATGCATATGAGTTGATTGAAAATACCATGTCTTGGTTCAGACATATATTAGTCCTCAAGGTCACATCTTTGTTTTTTTAACTCTTTAAAAGATGTGTTTTCAGCAGATTTGTCCAATGCAATATGTTGTCTGATTTCTTGATTGCTACTTACAATCAAGCAATTTTATTTATGAATCAAAGTAAAATGGAATCCTTGACAATGTCAATACAATCTCTGTAAGGTACTGTGTAAACATACATATTTAGGCCAAAGTCCACTTCACTACAGAGACCAGTGAGTGAATTGCTGGGAATTGTTTGTTTATTCGGCTTTTACAGGATTGACTGTAGAATCACTATCCACCCATGAGTAAGTTCCTCTGTTCCAGCAAACTTCCTGCCACAGTTTTCCCAGGGTCTTTGCCTATGTGTCCTGTCACAGAAACCAGTGTCAGGACACAGGAGATGTAACTAGGCTAGAAAATCCTGTATTTCCTTGGGGGAAAAAAAATCCTATTATTTCCTAGTACTATAAATTATTCATGAATCCTCTATAGAGTCATTCCTACTGGATAAACTAAGGAAAAATGCCCGCTATTTTGATGGTTGGTTTCTTCTTTGACTTATAAAAAAATAAAATTGGTAACTTAGGAAGATGCATGCAATAATTTAAAGTAAAATAAATGGAATGTGATGAGAAAAATGAGGTAAAGGGAAAATAAGGGTAGGAAAGGGCAAAATGGAACAGCAAACTGACTTGTAACTCCTGAAACCACAAATCTTAAAGGACCTGCTTTCAATGCCGGAATGGTATTTCTTTCTACCATTAGTCACCAGGTTGCCCGTAAGGGCTGAGGTAGCTGGATGAGATGGGGAAGTTTATTCTTTTTCATTTATTGTTGATCTGGATCAGCCTTGGGTGCAGAGGAGAATTTTGGTGGGGTCATTATGGTTCAGAGTTAGTGGTAACCATCTCCCTGTTATGGGGTTTTCTCTACATTAGCCTTGACAGTGGCGGGTCAATTTATTTTGTTAGTGTTGATTATGTTAGAAGTAGTTTCTGGTCTTGGGGTACATGCTTTGCACTTGAGACAAAATGTTCTGGCCTTCGAAGAGCTTAGTGAAATGTGAGCTCTATAGGACCCCCAAAGTTTCTCAAATATTCCTTCCTAGGCTCCCAGAAATGTTGAAAGAGCACTTTAATACACACTGAAATGAGTCTCTATCTCCTGACTCATGGAAATGTCCCTGATACAATTTCAAGTGAGAAAAGCAAAAGGTGGAGTAATCTGTAAAGTAGGTTTGATTTCTAACCAATGCACCTCACGTCTGCCACTACCTGTTTATCAGTGGTGACTTGTATGTTGCTTTTTCTCAAGCTGGGGGAACTGAAGAAAAAATTCAAGCCTCGACTTTCATTACCAAAGGAATATCTAGGCAAATTATTGAATGATGCAGAAAGCATCAAAAGAAGATGTAAGGAATAAACAGAGTCACTGTATCAAAAGGAAATGGTTGACGTTCACCCGTTTCAAGAAGTAGCATATGATCAAGAGCCAATGATACTGAAGGTGGAAGTCCAAGGTGCATTGAAGGAATTGGCAAAGAACAAGGCACCAGGAATTGATGGAATAAAAATTGAAATCTTTCAAGAAAGTGAGGCGGCACAGGAGGCACTCACTCATCTATGCCAAGAAATTTGGAAGACAACTATCTGGCCAACTGATTGGAAGAGATCCATATTTGTGCCCATTCCAAAGAAAGGTGACCCAATGGAATACGGAAACCATTGTACAATATCTTTGATATCCCATGTGAATAAAGTTTTACTAAAGGTAATACAGAAACAGCTGCAACCATACATTGATAGAGAATTTCCAGAGGTTCAAGGTGGATCCAGAAGAGGCCGTGGAACAAGGGATATCATTGCTGATGTCTGATGGATCTTGGCTGAAAGCAGAGAATATCAGAAAGATGTTTACTTGTGCTTTATTGACTACACAAAGACTTTTGATTGTTTGGATCATGACAAGTTATGGACAACATTGTGAAGTATGAGTATTCCGGAACACTTAATTGTGCTCATGAGGAATCTGTACTTGTTCCAAGAGGTAGTTGTTCGAACAGAACATAGGAACACTGAATGGTTTAAAATTAAGAAGGGTGTGTGACAGGGTTGTGTTCTTTCACCATATTTATTCAACATATATGCTAAGCAAATAGTCCAAGAAGCTGGGTTCTATGAAGAAAAACATGGCATCAGGATTGGAGGAAGACTCATTAACAACCTGCGATATGCACATGATACAACATTGCTTGCTGAAAGTGAAGAGGATTTAAAATATTTACTGATAAAGATCAAAGAGCACAGCTTTTGGTATGGATTGCATCTCAATGTAAAGAAAACAAAAACCCCAACAATGTACCAATAAACAACAATCTTATCAGTGGAGAAAAAAATGAAGTTGTCAAGGACTTCATTCTTCTTGGATCAAACAACACACATGGAAGCAGCAGTCAAGAAATCAAATGACATATCGCATTAGGCAAATCTTCTGCACAAGACCTTTTTAAAGTGTTGAAGAGCAAAGATGTCAGCTTGAGGACTAAGGTGCGCCTGACCCAAGCCATGGTATTTTCAACAACCTCATATGCATGCAAAAGCTGGACAGTAAATAAGGAAGACCGTAGAAGAATTGATGCTTTTGAGTTATGGTGTTGGAGGAGAATATTGAAAGTGCCATGAGCTGCCAAAAGAACCAACAGATCTGTGTTGGAAGAAGTGCAGCCAGAGTGCTCCTTGGAGGCCAGGATGGCCAAACTTTGTCTCTCATATTTCGGATATATTGTTAGGAGGGACCAGTTGCTGGAGAAAGATATCATGTTTGGTAAGGTGGAGGGTCAGAGAAAAAGAGGAAGACCCCCAGCAAGATGAACTGGCAAAATGGCAGCATCAATGGGCACAAGCATGGCAAAAATTGTCAGGTTGGCCCAGGATTGGTCAGTGTTTCATTCTCTTGTGCATAGAGTAGCTATAAGTTGGTACTGATTCGATGGCACCTACCAACAACAAAAACAATGATACTGAACAGGTTTCAGTGGAGCTTCCAGACTAAGATAGATTAGGAAGAAAGGCCTGGTTATCTACTTCCAAATATCAGCCAGTGAAAATCTTATGGAACAGAATGGTCCAATTCTGTCGTGCATCAGTTTGCCATGAATCAGGGTGTGATTCAAGGGGAGCTTGTAACAACCCAAACCCATTGCTATGGGGTTGAGTATGATTCATGATGATCTCATGTTCTACAGAAAATTTCTCCTTAAGAATTTCTTTGCTGTAATCTTCACAGAAGCAGATCGCTAGGCCTTTTTCCCAAGGCTGCTGTGTGCCAGCCTTTATTAGTTGAGTACAAACAGTTTGTGCACCCAGGGACTCACCACATTGACATTCCTATAGAAATACGAACTCCTCTGCCAACTACATATATTTGTGTGCTAGTATATATACATATAAGCAAAGAGAAGGGTGTGGAAAGATACACATCAGATTATAAACATTGGTAACCCAGGGACTGTACTTGATGGGTATGAGAAAGGTTAGGGGAGAAACAGGATTAATTTTTCTATTAAACATCTTTGGTATTAATATGATAACATGTATTACATTTTTGACTTAAAATGTATCACATAAAACTTAAAAACATACTTCATTGGAAACTGTCTGCCTAGATCTTAACTTTTTGTTTTGTTTGTTTTTGATCAGCACATAAGGAGGCGAATTCGGAGACTTAAAGCTGGCTGGTTGTTGGAAATGGACACCTTCTTAAGTCGCACACCCTTTGGGTACCGTTCATTCTCAAATATCATCAGCACCCTCAATCCCACTGCTAGGCGATACTTGGTCCTTGCCTGCCACTATGACTCCAAATATTTCCCCCGTTGGGACAACACAGAATTTGTGGGAGCCACAGATTCAGCTGTGCCGTGTGCGATGTTGCTGGAACTTGCCCGGGCCTTAGACAAACAGCTTCTTTCCCTGAAGGTATCTGCTTTCCTCTTGTTGATTCCTAGGATAAGACACATTAGCAGTAACTCAGAGTGAATTCTAGTCTCCTTGGGGGAATGAGAAGGCCATTTAGAAATGGATCCTTCAGGTACGATTTGTACTGATTTGTACTAATTCATTTTAAAACGATATGGGGTTGAATGAATATTAACTGGAAGATTACATTCTTTGAAGTTTCAGCCATGAGTAATAAACCAAAGATGTATGACAGTGCAAACATTAAATGGGACCTGATAGCTCAGGTTTGAATATGCATTAAGTGCAGCCTTTGGGAGAAATAAAGAAAGTGGAAGATTGGCAGAGACATGCATATGAGAACTATGTTTGTTTCTTCTTGTTTTCACAACCATGAAACACATCACAATCTTTTGATCTGAGCGATGGTGGCTCTCAAGCTGGGAGGAGTGGGTTGCAGCAAAGTAGTTCCTAAGTAGAGAATGGGTAATTCAGACATATAAAGATGAAAAGCATGAAGCAGAAATGCATTGTTATTATCTGTGAATATGGTGGGCTCAATTTTATGAAGCATAGCAGAGCTTTTGTTATGCTCTCAGCTCAAAATACTTATGAGACTCTCAGATGTTATTTCAGTCTCTGTGTTCTTAAGGGTGTATTAGAAGAAAGTCTTAAACTAGATGAAGACATTTTGCTCTGAAATCACTCATAACCAAGTAAACACAATAAGACAAAAACAAAAACCTTTTTTCACAGGCAATATTTTTTTCTTCCAAGTTTTATGAAGAGTCCAGCCTTTGATACAATGGGGGTAAAGAAGTAAAAGTTTTATCTTGTAATGTAAGTAATAGAAATATTTGGTTCTATTTTTGCTGGATATGCAGAACTTGAAGAAAGCAAGAATTGTTTACAACCTCTCAGTATCCTTTGTACTGCTTTTTTGGGTTTTGTGTTCTGAACCTTCTATAATGTCTTTGTCCCATGCTGTGCCCCTGTTTCAACTTGCACCTGCCCCTAGCAATCAAAAGAAGGAGAATTGCTAGTATCTACCACCTGTCAGTTTGTCGTCATGTGATGACGTATATGTTACTATGATGCTGTGAGCTATTCCACTAGTATTTCAAATGCCAGCAGGTTCACCCATGGTGGACAGGTTTCAACAGATCTTCACATTATGGCACACTAAGAAGAAAGGCATGGTGACTACTACTGAAAATTAGCCATTGAACACTCTATGGGTCACAACAGCATATTGTCTGATATAGTGGGATTCTTGGTGTGGCACTGTAGGATAAGCATTGGACAGCTAACTATAAGGTCGGCAGGTCAAACCCACCAACCATTCCTCAGAAACCCTCTCCAGTGTTGTCATGAGTTGGATCTGACTTGATGGCACTTAACAACAACATAGTGCTGGCAGATGAGCCTCCTACTCTGAAAGACACTTGAAATACAGAGTGACTGCAAAACAGGATGACTGCAAGAATGGATTTGAGCATACCGATGATGGCGAAGAAGGTGCAGGACCTGGAGATGTTGCGTTCATTGTACAAGGGGTGTCATGAATTGGAGCTTACTCATTGACAATGAACAACAGTGGGCTTTCTAGGATGAGGACATGAAATGAAGTATAACTTAAAGGCATAGTTTTGTGTAGTGAGTAGGTTTTCTTTGGGTGAGCCCTCTTACCTTGTTTCACATCGGTGGAAGTTTTGGGGATCAGAAATAGGACTGAATGAGTTGTTAGGTTAGGATCTTCATCAAAACACTCACATCAACATATACTTTCTTTTAATTATCCTTTTTTAATAGAAGTAAATGGTGATGTGGAGAATTAAAAAGCACTAACAAATTTGTTTTGAATGCACAATTTGAGAGTATCAGATTTATGCTACTGGTTGTACTTTAAATTTGTATCCAAGAGTTATTTTAAGTTTCTTCAGCTGTCATGATTTGGGGAGGTGGTGTAGTAAAATTCCCTGGGAGAAGACTGGGTATAGACTGAATTATCATTACAACTCTTTACAACCCCCTTCCTACTCCAGTACTAAGATTATAATTGCTTGACATAGATGAGTCAGTGGCTTCAGTGCTCCATCAGTTTGTTGAAAGATTTCAATTGTTATTCTGTCAATTCCTAGAGCCTTGTTTCTCACCAATGTCTTCATTGCTACTTGGACATCTTCTTTCAGTACCATTGGTTCTTAATCATATGGTACCTCTTGAAAAGATTGAAAATCAAACAATTCTTTTTAGTACAATGACTTTATGCATTCCTTCCATCTTCTTTTGATGTTTTCAGTGGCATTCAATATTTTGCCCATTTGTTAAGTGCCATTAAGTTGGTTCTGTCTATAAATATCCTGTATAGGGTTTCCAAGAATGGCTTGTGGGTTTGAACCACCGACCTTGTGGTTTGCAGTTCAGTGCTTATCCTATAGTGTCACACCAAGACTCCATCTGCCCATAGAGTCCTTCAGTATTGCAACCCAAGGCTTGCATTTTTTTCTTCAGTTCTTTCAACTTGAAAAATGCTGAGCATGTTCCTTTCTTTTGGTTTTCTAGCTCCATGTCTCTGTACACTTCATTATAATATTTGGACTCTTCTTGAGCTGCACTTTGAAATTTTCTATTAAGCTCTTTTTTTAAGTAAAACTTTTTATTCTGAATTCAGGGAGGGTTTACAGACAAGATCATCAGTTTTACATTCAACGAATCATAAACTTTGTTTCATCTTAATGATTACAATCCCCTCCATGCAGCAATAATTATCCCACTTCCTTCCTGTGTCTCCTATTTTCATTCTACCTACCTTCCTATCCCTTCTTAACTTTGTCCTTAGGAAAATGTTGCCCTTTTTTATTTTGAATGATTGATTATTCCACCGTAAGCATACCATATTGATGTTGTTGTCCCCTCTATATACCCATCTACTGCTTGACTGAAAACTGGGCCATGAGGGTGAGGTCCTTTTCAGACTGAAGGATTGTCAAGAGCCATAGTCTTGGGTTCTTCCAGTCTCTTTTTGACCAGTAAGCCTGGTCTTTTTTTTTAATAAAGTGGGAGAAAATGTGGAAAAAAACTAAAATTAATTTTTTTAAGATGACCTCTTTCTTCAGTCTGGGATAACTCATTTTAGTATTCCCAGAAAAAAACTAATCTTAGGTGCACCTTCTAAAGTGATTGCTTTCCGTGCTGTTGGTAGTGGTAGCTGGGTATCATGTAGTCCTCTGGTCTCAGAGTCATGGAGACTGATGTTCACATGTCCTATTAGTCAGTTGGTCTAATTGATTCAAATCATCTTCAATTCTCCTCATTCTTCTTTCTTCTGTACATGGAGAGACCAATATTTGCTCCATAGATGGCTGCTCATGGAAATTTAAGATCCTAGTCGCTACTCATCAAAGTAGAATGCAAAACGTTGTCTCTATGAAGCTCTTCTACTTCATCATTACTTCAAGTCATTTTAGCTTCTCTATGCTCAAGAGCAAAATTCAGACTCTCTTCTGACATCTACTTTGGTCTTTTCTTTTTTCTGCCTTTTTCATGATCTTTTGCTTCATGTATGATGTTCTTTATGTCATCCAATAGCTCTTCTGGTCTTCACTCATTAGTCATCAAATCTATTCTTGAGATGATCTATAAATTCAGGTATAATATATTCAAGGTCATATTTTGGCCCTCATGGAGTTGTTTTAATTTTCTCCAGCTTCAGCCTGTGAATAATACTTGGTCTATTCTACAGTCTGACCTTGTTTTGGTTGATGATATTGAGCTTCTCCATTGTTGAATGAAACCTGTCCCTGAGGGGTGATTCTGCTTGTATTTAAAATACCAGTGGAGTAGCTTCAAGTGTCACAGCAACACACAAGCCTCCACAGTATGATAAACTGATAGAGTAGTGGAATAAAAGAGACAAAGAGGCAAAATTCATGCGCCTCCAGAAAAGACAGTCTACAAGCCACTAGGACTTTAAAAGAGTCCTTGTGTGATGCTGTAGGATAAGCACTGGATAGCTAACCTCAGGGTCATCAGTTCAAACCTACCAGTGGCTCCTCTGAAATCATATACAGGGTTACTATGAGGCAGAACTGACTGGATGGAACTTAAAAACAAGTTCCTGGGTGGTGCAAATGGTTAGCATGTTTGGCTAGCAACCCAAAATATTGGAGGTTAGAGTCCAACAAGAGGTGCCACAGAAGAAATGTCTGGTGCTCTATTTCTAAACAAAGCAGTCATTGTGAACCGTTTGGAGCACAGTTCTACATTGACACACATGGGCTGCCATGAGTTGGAATCTATTCAGTGGAAGCTGGTATGGTATGACCACACCTGGCAGCTAGATGGGTAAGTCCTCCAACTGTACCCTTTCAGATGAGAGAATATTTTTCTGGAGACATTGAACCAGGGAAGTTCTGGACTTGGGGATAACAGTTATAGATAAGGGTAATTCTGAGGGGTTGCCTCATGGAAATCATGGAGTTTAAACCCAAACCCACTATTGTTAAATCATTTCTGACTCATTGGGCAGAACTGCTCCACAGGATTTTAAGGCTGTAAATCCTTATAGAAACAAACTGCCAGATCTTTTACTCTGGAGCAGATGGTGGGTTTGACCTTTTTGGTTAGCAGTTGAGTTCTTGAATCATTGTGCCACCAGACTCCTTCAAGGAGATCAGAAAAGTGTGAATGTTGAACAGTGAGACCCTAATCTTTTCCCTATTTTACGTGGAGCAGGTGGTGGGTTTGAACTGATGACTCTGTGGTTCAAAATCCAGCGCTGATCCTACAGTTCCACACTTATGACATTCAGTTAAAGAAGATGATGTCATAGCTTTGAGGTTACTGGCGATGCAATACAGGAGACCCCAAGGGACCTCCAGGTGTTGGGCATCCTAGGATGCTCTTGGATGGTGCTAGGAGTCTCTTTGGCTGGTGAGAGCAATCCATCCAGGCTGTAGCAAGCATAAAGAGGGTTCCAAGATGGATGCATTCATAAAAAGTAAAAACAAACCACCACC